AGCTTTATATTTTTTTAAATATATTTATATATGTATATGTACCTGAGTAATTAAAAATTTGTCAGATATTTATATCAGATGTATAATTATCTGAGAAGTATAGGAATGACGCGTCATTAATGATATATTAGAGATCGGAGATAGGAGCATTTTACATAACGCATATACTTTGTGAACAAGTCACAAAGTCAGAGTGTTTATATTGAACATTAATTTTCATTTTCTTTATCGATTGCCGTGTATGAAAATGTGCTGCACATCACTGTTTCCCAATAGAGGAAGTAATAATGAATCAAACCTTCTTTTATCTCTGATTCTTCAAGTATCGAAGCTATGTCAAAAGAGTATTTTACCATGTACATTTATGAATCATATCACGCATAATTAACGACAAGCCATGATTATGCGTCGCCTGCATATAAGTGCGATACAGAAATATCACACAGACTAATTGGAGGATTGAAATTCTCATTAACTCATTTAGCTGATAGTTTAAAAACTATGATATATAGTGAAACGCTTGTTTTTATATAATGTGCAGTTTAATTTAGAAATGAAAATCACGTTTTTTGCATGCAATATTATGCACATACTATGAATACTTATATTTATTTTTAAACGTTTGCATAGTGTATTCGTCAAATGGCTTAAAAATAATGTAAAGGTTCTTTTTATTGCAATCTAATCCCTATGTGAAATACCCAATTGTAAATACCAATCTAGAAAAAAAATTTTTCTGTAAATTGTTTTTTACTTGAGCACAAAAAAAAATAAATTGTAGAAAATATTTGACTTTTTGTATTCATATGTATTTGACAAGAGATTGTTAAACTTGTAGATCCGAAACAGGGATATATATTGCAATATAAACAACTTGATTTTTACAATGCTGTCTAATATGTAGTATTCCATAATATTGAATGTATAAATTTCAGAAAAGCTATCTAAAGTTGAGGGGAAAAACAGTTTAAAAAACGAAAAGCCTAAGACACCAGTTTAGAAATCTCATGTAGAATTGTGGAAGTCGAGTCAAGATTAATGTGACATTTACGTGTTTACTCTGAAATTGCGATAAAAATGATAATATAAATGCGCGTGTTGTAGTCATATGCTATGATAACTTTAGTTTTGCGTCAAATCAATATATATCTACGCAAGTATCTTTTTGGTACTAAAGATACAAAGTATATATAGGCTATTATGCAAAAAAATTATTTTTGAAAAACTATGAGATATTATAATAAGATTAACCAAGAAACAAAGAAGACAAGACACAAAAACACGGCCAAGAACGCATGATATTCACTTAGTTTAAGTTCAAAGTTTAAAATATTTAGTAACGTTCAGTTTCGTTTCGGTGCAATTAAGAATTATCATGTGAAATAGGTGTATCAAAATGTATTCAAATTTTATATACAGAGACTGATACCTGACCTAAAATGTATATATATTTGAGATGCGATTATTGATATACAGTTGTATTCCAATACATTATTATTAACTATGAGTATTGTACAATATATTAAGAATATAGTACGATTGATT